TGTGAAATGGTTTGAAAAAGGGGTATATATACCATAAAGGAAACAAAAAAAAACAAAAAAAAACAAACAAAAAAACTTCCAAGTAATGTTTACTTTTGTAGGTTTTCCCACCCTTTCTTGTTTTATTTTTTCTCTCTCTCTCCTCTTCAATCTCTCACCGCCTTCTCCTCGACCACTTCCCAAGTCGGGGTGAAAGAACTTGAAGCGATCTGAAGTAGTAGTGCCCCCATCAAGGGTGGAGACTGAAAGTTTGGAATGAAAGGACTAGCTACAGAGGATATAACAATAGAGGACACTAAATGATTAGTACTAAAAGGGTGGGGGGTGGACTCGGTCAATTGAATTGGTTGTGTGGGCTGAGTGTGTTTGGTAGGCCCAAATAGGTACAAGTTGTCCAGATATCTGTGGACTTGTTAAGAGATCTGTAGATCTAAATTAGGTGAGTGAGTGAGATATAGATGGAAACAGGTATGAATGAGGGGAAGAGTAGGGGGGTTATTTGTGCTTTCTATCCCTTGTTGTTTTTTTTATTTTATTGTCCCCTGGAGTACCCAAGTTACCACCAGAATCTCTCTGTCGGCAGTAAGCCGACCAACCTATTATATGGCTAGAGTTACTTACAATACATTGAATGTCCAAGGTCTCAACAATCCAAAGAAGCGCAACCAGGTACTATACTATCTTCATAAGTGTAGGGTGCAGGTTGCATTTCTCCAAGAGACTCATTTTAAGTCGTCTGCTGCACCAACTTTATCAAATAGGTACTTTAAAATGTGGCAATATAGCAACAACCCTAACTAGAAAACAAAAGGAGTAGCTATTGGATTCCACGCCTCCGTACCGGTAGAAGTACAGGAAGTAATGGCAGACGACGAGGGTAGATATATATTTGTACGATGTCTGTTATATGGGAAGTTATTCACATTGGCTAACCTATATCTACCAAATGTGGGCCAAAAATCAGCTACTTTGAATATCCTTACAAAGCTGGAATCCTTCATGGAAGGTTATTTAATGGTAGGGGGTGATTTCAATTTTATTTTCGACCCAGAGCTTGACTCTTCATCTAAGCGGGCACGTCTACCGTACTCTACAATAAATACCATTAAAAACAGATTGCATAAGCTGCAATTGGTAGACATCTGGAGAATCCTACACCCAATGGCCAGAGACTATATGTTTTACTCTCCGGTCCATGCAACCTATAGTCGCATTGACTACTTTTTTTCCTCTCATTGTCTACTCGATTGGTATCCTCAAGCAACTATAGGAACAAAACTATGGTCCGACCACGCCCCTCTCATGGTGACACTAGTGTTAACAGGCACAGTACAAAATAGACCCACTTGGCGATTAAATGAGACTCTCCTTCAGAATCTATGCGTCCAGAAAGATCTTGAAAATACCATCCAAATGTTTCACACAACCCACGCCCAGGACACTACTTCTCCCCCCATTAAATGGGAGGCATTGAAGTGTGACCTGCGCGGGGTTTTAATTAAACACGCTGCCCAGGCTAAGAGGGATAAAAACAAGCAGATCTCCTCCCTGCTTACAGAAATACAGGAGCTGGAAAGAACACATAAGAATAGACCTGACCAAACAATACACCAAAGATTAACTGCTAAAAATCTGGAGCTGTCAAAAATTCTGGAACAGTCATATACACGTTATAGGGACCTAACCTTACGTAACCTGCATGAGTTTGGAAATAAGAGCGGGAAATCCTTAGCCAGGTCCATTAGGGGCCTCCACTACAGAACCTATATATCTAAGATCAGGTGTCCAGATAAAGGCTGGGTGCACTCTTCACAGAAGATAGCTGCGTCTTTCCAACGGTATTACTCGAATTTATATAATCTGACGCCTCTTAACTCGCTAGAAGATAGGAACGTAGCGACCACCATACGTTCTTTTATTAACACAAGTAACCTTCCTACACTTTCTGATGAAGCAGTTCTTTTGTTAGCGGCACCTTTCACCTTAAAGGAGATAGACGAGGTCATCGGCTCCTTACCCAAAGGTAAGAGCCCAGGACCGGACGGTTTCACTGCACAGTTTTATGTTAACTTATGTAAGTCCCTATCACCTATATTAGAGACTACATTTAATTCAATTTCAACCACTCAGTTATTTACAGCACAGACACAGGAAGCACATATTGCTATTATTCCAAAAACTGATAAGCATCCCTCGGCCATGTCAAGTTACAGACATATTTCCTTGATTAATTTAGATCTGAAGATCTATGCTAAAATGCTGGCGAACCGGCTTAAAATATATGTTCCAGCACTAGTCCACTTAGATCAAGTAGGGTTTGTGCCCCATCGGGAAGCAAAAGATAACACTATCAAATCTTTAACTCTCATTGACTATGCCCAGAGAACTAAATCCTCTCTATGTCTGCTATCGATCGATGCCGAAAAGGCGTTCGACCGATTAGGCTGGTCCTTCTTGAGAGAAGTGTTGATAAACATAGGCATAACATCAGATACGCTGTCTAAAATAATGGCTCTATACGACAACCCAACAGCTCGGATTAAAGTGAACGGCATTCTGTCCGAACCTGTAAATATCCGTAATGGTACAAGGCAGGGTTGCCCTTTATCTCCATATCTTTATATACTGGCCATGGAATACCTAGCAGCTTCTATTAGAAATAACCCACAGATTAGGGGCATGGAAATTGGCCGAGAGAATCATAAGATGAGTCTCTACGCTGACGATCTACTACTCCTATATAATGAATCCACAACAAGCATTCCCGGCTTTGTTACAGGAATTTCGCTTATTCGGATCCCTAAGCAATTTTAATGTCAACGTCCACTAGACAGAGGCTCTGAATGAATATTACCCTACCAGATTCAGAAGTACTACACCTAAAGGGGGGGTATCCCTTTGGTTGGAAGGCGGACGAATTGAAATATTTGGGTGTACTGCTACAGAGAAATTTAGATAGAGTATATGAGCTTAATTACAGACCTCTATTAACACTATGGACTCCTAAATCCCACTCTTGGTTCGGCAGGGTGTCCATTTTTCAAATGGACATCCTCCCTCGACTACTATATATATTCCAGACAGTCCCGATAATAATACCTAGGTATTTCTTTCATACAATGAAGACACTTGTAAGCCGATATATCTGGAAGGGATCTAAAGCACGAATAAGTTATGATACCCTCATCCGTCCCAAATGTAAAGGAGGGTTAGGTCTCCCACATCTGGAATACTACTATATGTCCTCACATTTAACAAGGATCTTGGATTATATCCATAACTTGAGTTTCAATTTCAACCACTCAGTTATTTACAGCACAGACACAGGAAGCACATATTGCTATTATTCCAAAAACTGATAAGCATCCCTCGGCCATGTCAAGTTACAGACATATTTCCTTGATTAATTTAGATCTGAAGATCTATGCTAAAATGCTGGCGAACCGGCTTAAAATATATGTTCCAGCACTAGTCCACTTAGATCAAGCAGGGTTTGTGCCCCATCGGGAAGCAAAAGATAACACTATCAAATCTTTAACTCTCATTGACTATGCCCAGAGAACTAAATCCTCTCTATGTCTGCTATCGATCGATGCCGAAAAGGCGTTCGACCGATTAGGCTGGTCCTTCTTGAGAGAAGTGTTGATAAACATAGGCATAACATCAGATACGCTGTCTAAAATAATGGCTCTATACGACAACCCAACAGCTCGGATTAAAGTGAACGGCATTCTGTCCGAACCTGTAAATATCCGTAATGGTACAAGGCAGGGTTGCCCTTTATCTCCATATCTTTATATACTGGCCATGGAATACCTAGCAGCTTCTATTAGAAATAACCCACAGATTAGGGGCATGGAAATTGGCCGAGAGAATCATAAGATGAGTCTCTACGCTGACGATCTACTACTCCTATATAATGAATCCACAACAAGCATTCCCGGCTTTGTTACAGGAATTTCGCTTATTCGGATCCCTAAGCAATTTTAATGTCAACGTCCACTAGACAGAGGCTCTGAATGAATATTACCCTACCAGATTCAGAAGTACTACACCTAAAGGGGGGGTATCCCTTTGGTTGGAAGGCGGACGAATTGAAATATTTGGGTGTACTGCTACAGAGAAATTTAGATAGAGTATATGAGCTTAATTACAGACCTCTATTAACACTATGGACTCCTAAATCCCACTCTTGGTTCGGCAGGGTGTCCATTTTTCAAATGGACATCCTCCCTCGACTACTATATATATTCCAGACAGTCCCGATAATAATACCTAGGTATTTCTTTCATACAATGAAGACACTTGTAAGCCGATATATCTGGAAGGGATCTAAAGCACGAATAAGTTATGATACCCTCATCCGTCCCAAATGTAAAGGAGGGTTAGGTCTCCCACATCTGGAATACTACTATATGTCCTCACATTTAACAAGGATCTTGGATTATATCCATAACTTGAGTAATAAACAATGGATAGGCATTGAGGAGGCCTTAGTATCTATTCCATTACGGTCATACCCGTGGATCGATCCCCTAGATCGTCAGCAGACACTGGGACTACCATTCTGCCTTACTCCTTTACTTAAGATATGGGATTACCTTGTTAAAAATGAGAGCATTTCGTCGTATGTCGGCCCCCTGACTCCAATCTTGGGAAACCCACGTTTTCCACCAGGTTTTAATTGCCCAAAGTTGCTTCAATGGACCCGAGATACAACCTCGTACATCATTGATGCGCTTTCCCCTAGTGGGATTCTTCCCCTCCCTTCCCTAGCTGGAGACAATGAAAGAACAGGGGGAAGCTGGTTAATATATTTTCAATAAAAAAAAAACAACAAATGAACGGAAGGATTCAAAACTAAAAAAAGAATTTAACCCTAAAAATAAAATGTTGATATGGTTGCCATGGGCACCAGACTGTTTTCTTCCAGACATGTTTATACATAAGAACTCGTACATTAGATTTCTACTCAAATTACATTTTCTTTTTGTTTTCAGATACCTGGGAATTACCCGACCTCTGACCTATCCCGTAAGGCAGAATGGGAAATGCATGGCCAAAATGATCATGTGTGTTTGGCTTCTCTCTGCATCGATCACATTACCTCCTCTGTTTGGTTGGGCGCAGAATGTCAACGATGACAAAGTCTGTTTAATTAGTCAAGATTTTGGCTACACCATTTATTCTACAGCTGTTGCCTTTTACATTCCAATGTCGGTCATGCTATTTATGTACTACAGAATTTTCAAAGCTGCTAAAAGGAGCGCAGCCAAACACAAGTTTGCGGGGTTCCCGCGGTCAGAAGAAAGTGAGGGGATGATCACTGCCAACGGAGTTGTGAAAATGTACAAAGAATCCGAAGAATGTGGCAATCTATCAAGACTCCTGAGAAATGACAGAAAAAACATTTCTATTTTTAAAAGGGAACAAAAAGCTGCTACCACCCTTGGGATTATAGTCGGGGCTTTCACTGTATGCTGGCTTCCTTTTTTTATATTATCAACAGCCAGACCTTTTATCTGTGGGACAGAATGCAGCTGCATTCCATTGTGGATGGAGAGAACATTTTTATGGCTGGGATATGCAAACTCTCTGATCAACCCTTTCATTTATGCCTTCTTTAACAGAGACCTGAGGACAACATATCGCAATCTGTTACAATGCAAGTACAGAAATATCAACAGGAAGCTGTCAGCTGCAGGGATGCATGAAGCTTTGAGGCTTGCAGAGAGACCTGACCATACCCTGTAAGAATTTGTTTGATAACGCACCTTGTTTCACATTATAGGGTACACCATACATTACTTTCACGTTATAGGTGCAACTTGATTTTTCTTGATTTCAGAAGATAGGACTTACGGGTTGCTTTTGTGTACGTGTGGGTAATATATTCAGCACTATTATTGACTGCTCTTTGAGAGAATTAATTATGGTTTAAATAGCTGCCTCTGATAAAAGTCACAAAGAATAAAAGCTGCAATCTGATTGGATGCAAAAGACAGAAAGTCTTGTTTTCTATTGCTTCAGTTGTCTTTCTCCGATTCTTGTTATGAAAATTAAAAGACCACTAAACGTAAACTTAAAGTACAACTGAAGCCAACACTTTTTTTTTTATTTGGCTGGAGTATATAGTATTGCGGTCTGTGACTTCATTAGGGAGATTCATCCTTTCTATTTGTCCTTGTGACCAAAATCACTAAGGAAAATCCTACATTTTGGGTTGTCACTAGAACAAGAATAAATGGGAAATCTTCAGATGGGACAGTAGTTCTGGTGACCCTGCTGACCACAAGTGATTTTGCTCTCTTTTGGAGGGAATATCTCTCACCTTCTGTTGTGGCTATCAAACAGAAAGTGAAGGAACACAGATGGCAAAATGAAGTTGACAGGGGTTATAACTAGGGATGCACAGATACAAGTATCGGTGGCGATGCTGAGTATTTGGGCAAATACTCGTACTCGCCCAAATGCTCCGATGCCTAGCCCGATACTTCCGGTATCAGGAAGTCGGCCAGCGAGTCATTACACACTGCCCGGCTTCCTGGTTGGCCTGGAAACCGGCTCCATGCTCCCTCATCACTTGTGACGAGGGAGCATGGAGCCGGTTTCCAGGCCAACCAGGAAGCCGGGCAGTGTGTAATGACTCGCTGGCCAAGCAGGAAGCCAGACGCAGTGTAATAACGCGATGCCCGACTTTCTGATTGGCCGGGAAGCCGACTTCATGCTTCCTCATCACTTCATGACGAGGGAGCATGGTGCTGGCTTCCCGGTCAATCAGGGAATCACGTCATTACATGGAGCCTGGCTTCTTGATTGGCCAGAAAGCCGGCTTTTTGCTTTTTCGTCACTTAGGGACGAGAAACATGGGGGTGGCTTCCCTGCTAATCGGGAAGCCGGGTGGCGAGTCTTTACACGCAGCCCGGGTTCCCGGTTCATCAGGAAGTCAGGTGGCGAGTAATTACACGCCGCCTGGCTTCCTTAATGGGACTTCCGGTATCGGTAGTTGGTATCGGCGAGTACTGGAAAAAAATATTGGTACTCGTACTCGATACTGAAATACCGGTATCAGTGCATACCTAGTTATAACCCTCCCTTACTTTATCCAAAACTAAAAAAGAAGTTTTAGCTTCAGTTCTACTTTAAAGATGAGTCATGAAAGACATAAAAACAATTATGAATAGTTATCTAAAAATTTAGGCTTGTGTTTATAAATAATTCCCAGTGAAATTGTATGTATATTTGTTCTGTGTGAATGAAGACAAAAATGAATGTTATTAGTTTACTTTCTTTCCAGGTAAATACCACATTATGTCCAGTTGGCCACTAGATTGAGCTGAGGAGTATAAGTATTTATTTATGATGCTCTTCAGCTCCATGTAGTGGGCACAATGCGGTATTTACCAGATATTACTTTCTACCTGGAAAGAAAATATACATATAACATTCCTTCTTGCTTCTGTTCCCATAGAACAAATGTATATGCAATTTCACCGGATGAATGGCTTTGCTTTGCAAATGTACAGCCCTTGGATATTAGAACTTATGGATTTTTAGTGTTCCTCTTTTTATGCTTTCTTTAATTATATGTTCAAAACTACAAAATATTTAAATTTTTTTTTAATATTACAAATATTTATATTCACTATTTGCAGCTAGTAGGTGGAGTTTTGATTTACCTTCCTTTTCCTTACTAGGCTGACTTTACTTCCTTGCTGGTGAATAGCCTTTGTTGTGAAGGTGAGCTTAAATTACACATACATCTACGTGATTAGAGGAAGAAGGCACCCCATTCTCTCTGCTCAGGATATATGGCCTCTCTGTCTTTTCAGATGGATTGAGATAGTTGGAAGCGAGCAACTAACATTGGTTTGACTTTTAGTATAGCAGGAGTTTATATCACACGGCTGAATGATCGGTGGAAGATTGGACAGCTTCCCTTTTGCTCTGCGTGTATGGCTCCGTCAGGATTTTCAGCTGGGTTGAGACAATCAGAAGTAATTAGCTAGTGTTCAGCTTTCTCTTTAGAATAGCAGGAAATCAAATTACACACACAGCTGAATGATTAGAGGAAGATCAGTCTGCGTATATGGTCATGTCTGAATTTTTAGCTGGAATGAGACAATCAGAAGAAAGCAGCTAGTGCTGGAATTTTTCTTTACAAAAAGCACAGGATGCTTTTTAAAATCAGGGTCATGGGTGCACTTTATATTAACTGTTGATGGGTAAAATACATTGTTTATACAAATAATAAAAGCATGATGTTTTTATCAATACACTAGTAACAAAAATAAAATTCACCAGAACCAATACAGTTTCACTTAAAGCTTATCTAAACCGAAAAATAAGAATGTAATAATGCAGCTTTCAAGTCTTTGGATGCAGTGGCTATAAATGTTTCCTTTTTTTCAGGCAGTTTTTCCTTTATTTTAAAATGGTAAGCCTGCAAATAACACACTCCCTGTCATAGGGGGGCTATACTTGCACACTTTAGTGAAATTATAAAGGGAGTTATGGTTGTCACCCAGGCCCATTCCTAATTCACACTACTTGCCCCTCCTGAATTCCTCATCTACATTACATAGGAGGCATTCTTTTGTAGATCAGGGAAGGGAGCTGGAAAAACTGATAAGATTATTTTATATCAGTTCAGTTTACAGTACTTAACAAGGGCATTGGAATTCTGGCAAGATAAACAGTTATTCTTCTATATGTGCAGAAAATGTAAAACAAAGAGTACCAGATCTAAGAAACAGTAAGCTGCATTATATATTACGTTTTTGTTTTTGGATTTAGCTCTCCTTTAAAGCAAGCACCACACCATGGTTGAATGTGTTCACAAGACGGGCACTAATCATTTTTAGTTTGATGCCTTTTTTCGATATAAGTAAATTTATTTTGTCTCATTCTTTTTGGGATCTTTTGCGGGAGCGATCTCCTTCATGGCTGCTAAGATCCCCCTCGTCCATATCACTACTGGACACTGAGGCTGCGCGGGCTGTTACCTCATGTGAGAGGGCCGCGGGCGCCATCTTGGCCGATGCTCTGGCCATAGCTTCCTTGATGGTCTGCTGTTTCCCCTTCTGCTGAAGTTTGGGCGCTGCGGACGACATAATCAGGTGCAGGTGTCGTTCCGATTGCTGGCTGGGGTATTGAATCGGGTGTGCGGGGCGAACTTCCGGGTTACGAGCGGGATTGCCTGGGTGAGTTGCGGAGCCGTCTCAGAAGGCCTGCTTCATCGTCAGCTGCGCGCATGAGCCCCCCTTGTCTCATTCTTTTTATCCTCAACTAGAAAAATAACAATTAAAATATGAATGATCAATAAGGCAATACAATTTTTCCCCTTAGCAAAGCTGGCACTTTAAAGCAGTGTTCCAATGCATGAAAAATAGCCTTTAAACTTTCCACAATAAAAGCACAAAGCATGAACTGAGTCCATTTATATATGTTTGGGTGTAGTGTGCTTGGAAATAAATGGCTTGTTTAGATTGTGCCGCTCAAGATTAATTTTTCAGTTACATTAACTTTGACTATTGTTGTAGCCGTACAGAGCACACAAGGATCATGGCCATTTTTTCTATGCTGAAAGACCAGCATAACCCTCAGTGAATGACAGTGTCATTTGTTAAATGGTTAACTCGTTTTGAATAATGCATTTGACCTGACATAGTTAAGCATGTGAGACTGACAGCTATTTGATCTCTTCACATTTGTGAATGTCACAGCATTCTGTAAGACTTCACCCATGATCACAGCACTTACATCTCCTTCTCATCTCTGTGCGACATAGTGAGTGCCAGTTGAATATAGGAATACAGAAATAGCTGTGTGTGTGTGTCCTGCTTTTCATACTCAGTAGGCATTCTGCTTAATGTGCTTTTAGTGTTACAGAGATGCATGTAAACATATTTCTCTGCACTTCTGTATGCTAATCCTTGCATTTATATATTATTTTATGTACAGCCAGGTTCCAGAGACAGGCTACATTCTTAATGGGTGCATTATTTAGAGGATTTGAAGGAAAACTTAATTGGGGAGGTTCTTCTGATGAGTTGTATAATATAAATAGACTATGCTTATTATGATAACACCTTGGAGTATGATAGATATACTAGTATATAGACAATGTGAGAAGATGTAATGCACAATTACCAACAGTATTTAATCAGATTTGATCTTAGAATCCATAGAAAGCCAGCACTCCAAACATTAATATCAATTTATTCCCAAAAGGTCATAAAAACAGTCAATAACAAAAACTTAAAACTAAACAATAAAGGTGATCAGCGTATTTATTAGATATGTATGATCAATAACAAAAACTTATAGACGTTTTTTGTTATTTTCTGTTTTTATGACCTTTTGGGAATAGATTGATAATATTGGACTAATCCCATATTGAGTGCCGGCTTTCTATGTGTTTTCAGATTTGATGCCCATTTTCACCCTAGCTGAGGTATTTCATATAAAAAAACATATGCCAGCAATGTACACCAAATATACATGGAGCAGACATATGTAGTTGCTGTATATGAACACAAGAACCTCATTTTTTTGTTAGCTTTTCTCTTCATCTCCTCATGGAAATGGTTGCAATTGTGCTTTGCGAGTAAGTTGTATATAGTTCAATTGGTCTCTCCACCCCCGTAACCATTGTGTGCAAAGGCAGAGCTGCTATTTACTGATCGTGTTACAATGAATAAAAGGGAGGGAGAGAGCTGTTTACAGCCTAATTACAATCCGACCCTGG